TACTAAACATGTCAATTAAGGCATGTAAGGATAGACTAACACAAATAAGGATAGATTGACTATGAGAATTTAGAGCATGATACGACATTTCAATTAAAGCATGGAAATAGTCTAAGTAGCCTTAAACGGTCAGATACCACGTACAACTCGTGTACCAACTTGTCACCTTGCGTACACGAATTTCACTTAGCAAAATTTAATCAAACAATACCAATCCTAAGGGGGTAGTTATCCCACACGAAATTAGGCAAGATACTTACCTCAACAAGGCCAATTCAACACTCGGAAATAGCTTTTCCTTTAAATTTCGCCTCCACACGGCTCAAATCTAACCAAAATCGACTCAATATTATCAAACAATGCTAGGGAATTCAATTGCAATAGTAAAGTTAAGATCTTTACACTTTTTTCAAAAAGTCAACAAAAGTCAACTTGGGGCCCCCGGTCAAACCTTGGTCTAATGGTAGATTCCGTCTACCTATGACCCCAGGGGTTCATATGTGTGATTAGTTTCAAAATCCGATTCCAAATCGACTCTCAAAACTCAAATTCTCATTTTTCAAAAACTTGACAAAGTATTACAAATTTTCACTTTGATTTACTTGCTTTTGATGTTAAAGTCTAAGATATGTTGATGGAATATGATTAGAAATAGATTAGAATCACTTACCCAAGATTTGTAGGTGAAAATCCCCTCTCCAAATCGCCTCCTACCGAGTCTAGGATTCAAAAATGAGAAAATAAGAGATGAAATCCCGACTTTCAGGCCTTATGTTCAATTGCAGTTATCACAATTGCGAAGAAATCCTCACAAATGCAGAACTAAAGGCTTGGGAAGCTCTTCGCAAATGCGAAGATTGGATCGCATTTGCGACCCATGCTTTCCTCGCAAAAGCGACATTTTTGTCGCTATTGCGAACCTAGTCCAGACCAGAAATTCTTCGCAAATGCGACCAAGGCATCGCATTTGCGATACCTGGAGCTCCTTGCTATGGTCGGAAATGCGACTCTGGTGTTCGCAATTGTGACACCAACTTTCATTTTCAGTCCAAAAACATTCTGAAACATGTCTGAAACTCATCCGAGCCCTCAAGGCTCCCAACCAAATATCCATACAAGTATAAAAATATCATACGAACTTGCTCGCGTGAGCAAAACACAAAAATAACAGGAAAAACTACGAATTGAACTTTAAAATATATGAAATTCAAGGAAATTTTCAAGAACTTCTAAAATTACAACTATGCGTCTAATCCTATCAAATCAACTCCAAACGGCACCAAATTTTTCAGACATCTTCTAAATATTATAACGGACCTATTCCAAGTCCCAAAATTAAATTCCGAGCTTCATAGCTAAAAGTCAACCTACGGTGAAACTTTTCAACTTTAAATTGCCAAATTTCGGCAAATCAACCTACGTACTTCCAAAATCAATTCCGGGCATACGCTCAAGTCCGAAATCACAATATGAAGCTATCAGAGCCATAAAAATACAGTTCCGATGTCGTTTTAATAAAAGTCAACATTTGGTCAATATTTTCTAATTTAAACTTCTAAGTCAAAAAATCAAGGGTCCAAATCAAACCGAAAGCTTCCCGGAATGAAACTGACCAACCCTGCAAGTCATAAAATCATAAACACATATGTGTAAAGCAATAAAAGAGGTAACGTGAAACAATTACACAAAACGACCGATAGGATCGTTACAAAGAGCATAAGATACAAAAGCATACTAAAATCAGACAGTTATATTAAACTAGAAAACCAAGAAGACGCATACAAAGTAGTCTCCATTTAGTTAGGCATATACAAAAAGCATAAGATACAAAAGCATACTAAAATCAGACAGTTATATTAAACTAGAAAACCAAGAAGACGCATACAAAGTAGTCTCCATTTAGTTAGGCATATACAAAAAGCATAAGATACAAAAGCATACTAAAATCAGACAGTTATATTAAACTAGAAAACCAAGAAGACGCATACAAAGTAGTCTCCATTTAGTTAGGCATATACAAAAAGCATAAGATACAAAAGCATACTAAAATCAGACAGTTATATTAAACTAGAAAACCAAGAAGACGCATACAAAGTAGTCTCCATTTAGTGAGGCATATACAAAAACCACTTTGACTTCTTCCACCTTTAATAACATTCCAAATCGTATCATGTAATATATCCAACTTCCTTTGAAGACCCTCAACCTCATTGATAAAACTCAATGCAATTTCATTTGGCGTACAAATGACACCAAAATCAAGTTACACATGATTCACGGAAAAACCCTTACTAAATCCTAAGAATAGCGGAGGGTTTGACCTTATGAAAGCTCGTGCCAAAGTTATGCGGTCTCAAGTTTTAATTAATAAATATAACTTTAAAACATAAATGCTACAAGGGCGAAACAAGAGTTTAGGTTACGGATCGACAGTATTCAGTAGTTTTAGTCTAAATTCTATATTTATTGAAATATATAAATTATTAATTTTGAACTCATAAAACTCAAATCTTGACTTCGCGTTTGATTTGCTAGCCTTTGTTTGGCATAACATACTTTAAGGTATGGTCCATTTATAGCAAAGGTTTGACGTGGGCAGTTGGAAATGTAAATTGTATTGATTGCCTTGGATTCCAAATTTACCCCTTTTAAGAGCTCTTATTCAAGGTCCTTTTAAGGGGCGGTTCAAGTACTTGCCTAAAACTAAAGTTTAATACGAGACTTAAATTTTTAAAAGAAAATTATAATATATTAATTTATTTGAAGTCTATTATTCTAGCTTTTTAAGATACAAAATTGTTAATATTTTTTTTATAATCGATCTCCTCTAATAATTTCTTTTCAATTGATAATATAATTAACTCACTTAGTTTTTTTTTAAGACGCTAATCTTAAGTAAGATTTTATAGAGCAACAAAGTATAGAATTGTTGGAAGCCTAAAAATACTGTTGAATGCTTGAGCTAATGAAATCTTGGAAAAAGAAGGTGAGTAATGAAATATTGGAGAAAGAAAGTGAGTAAGAATATCAAAGAGAAAGATAGAAAATATGTAGAATTTTTTAAATATGAAGAGCTTGGAAAAAAAAAGATTGACTAGGACAAATTAATGAAGATAAACTAAAACATTTACATGCTATTTAACAAATGAGTAAAAAGTGGAATTGTCAAATCAACTCAAATTGAAATATTAAAAAAATTATTCATCCACCCATTTTTAAGTAATTAAAATTATTACTTTGTTTTATATATCTAAACATAATTTCTTTACTTTTATATGAAAAACTCTATTTTTGTATTAAAAGTACTAAATAATATTTTTAAATACCTATAAACCTATGATTTAAAGATAAATGGGCCACTCCTAAATTTGGGGGCCTAAGGCACAAGCCTTGCTAACGTTAGAGCTGACCCTGAGACCTTTGACTATGAAGGATATGGGTCGCAGGACTTGAAACTTTTCACCGATCTCCTTTGAATTGCGTGAATACATCAACAATTAAGGGTGTGTTTGGTACGAAGGAAAATATTTTTCTTGAAAAAATATTTTTTTGAAAAATGAGTGATTTTATCACTTATATTTTCATGTTTGGTTGGTAAATGAAAAATATTTTCTAGCTTTTAGTTAGTGAGTAGAAAAAATATTTCTTTTGAAAAATATAATTTACGCAAACACTAAAAGAGACGGAATGAGATAGAGAGGGGTTGGGGTGGGGC